CAGACTTAACTGCTGACGTGGAATAATTGCTGCCCGAATTAGCGAGTCGCATTACCTATTCGTGAGTTAATTGTATTCCTTTTTGTTTATTATTGCTACTGTAGAACCACGGTTATTCAGTATACTCATTCCGCCCACTGTCCTGCATTTTAACTGCCCAGACCGTGCGTTAGTTAGGTGATACGATTAGCCTCATACTCTCTGCCGTAACAAAGGGAGTAAACGGTTAAGGCCAATACTAAAGACAGGTGGCGTGCGGCTGGATCATAACTAGTGCTATTCGTATATCACTACCTTTTCGTCATTGCTTGAATCCATAATGAAACTGAATGAATCCTTTAGGACCAGAGTTGCCCCCGTAAGCAATTTAACTTGGTACTTAACGTATTTGAATTGCATCTACCGTCTTTACGATGCACTGTGCGCGTAGTGTCCTTGGAAGCGACCTAGCCTAAATAAGCCAATGGTTGTTGATGTACTAACCAATGTACGGATAGTATTGGTCGATGATGGAGGCTCATGGGCACTCTAAGCTCTATTCAGCAACCAGTGGTTACTCTGAAGTTGGTTTCACTCAGGCTAGGAGCATAAAGTTTTCCCAACTGACGGTGCGAAAGGGTTGTGGGCTGATTGGGCGTAAGTGGTCTACGATGTACTTAAAGACACGCTTTGCATACAATGTCAGTGGGGATAAGTGGTAAGGCAACCCGACAAGCTTTTGTGCGTCGTTCTAACACTTAGGATGTGCAACTTCTAGGTGAAAAGATAGTGTTAAACTAGCAATAGGTTCGAAAATCGGGCGCGGTATTGTGATGTTAACCGCACACTCTTCCCAACTGATGCCGTGTGCAAAGCAAGCATTTACGTGTATCGTAAACCGATTGCGCCCACTCAAACCTCAACCTGGTCGTACCACATGGGTATGGGCAACTTTGCACTGCTACCAAATGTACAAACAGCTTCCGATTAGTCAGCCTAATATAATGTCTGACAGTCACCTAACCCACTCCAAGCGGGAAGCAAGAACACCACCGCGCGGGACACGCTGCCTTGAAAAACTGACAAAGATGAGCAACCTGGATGTAAGAAGATCAACAGATCAATAAGCCAACCAGATGAAAGGACATAGTCATGAATGGTGAGCAGTTTATCCCTGAACGGCTGCCATGCGTGCGTCCAACACAATCACCTGACGGGACAGTCGCGAATGTTAAACTATCTAGCTGTGAGCGGTGGTGAAACGCAATCCCGTCTAACACCTCCCTCCTTTAAACCGAACTGAACAGCGTGCTACGTTTGAATGGTATTCTTTACGACTAGGGTTCACTACGAGTCTCTGCACTGGCGCTCTGATTCGCGTTGAGTATCTTCCAGATGCTGTTGCACTTACTGTTTGTAAGACAAGCTATTGCGACGGGGTAATTTGATACGCATCGAGAAAGATGTCCAACGGTAGTGAAGCTTCCTGTTTTGGGGTCCTCTCTTACACTTCAAATGAAGTATAATATGGCCTACATGTCTAGTCCATTTGCTGGAATACACTCGTGTTCGGTATAAAACTCTTGAAATCCGTTCAACGAAATCGCCCGGAATCCAGGGTGACTTTCCTTCACGAAACGTTTTACATACATAATATCATCAGGCAAGAAATGCCGGGAGCGTGTTCCATGATGGCGATTACAAACCAGCTCCATATGAACATTGCGCTCTCCCCTGTGTAGCTATGGCTTCAAAGCATGAAGGAAGGTTCTGACATGCCTACCGAGATACGCTTTGGAAGGGGATTTGTTTGGAGACACTACTGCACCTGGTGCCGTATGGTAACTCTGCAAACAATTGTCGATGATTTCCTAGCGATTGTCATCTCCTTACATTTTCATTAATGTTCGCTTAAACGTATCGATAAAACATTCAGCCTGCTTTTTGAATGTGGACGGTACGCCAGAATACGTATGTGTTAGATGACATGTGAGTTGCAAAAGGCAGAACCTTCTTGAGGAGTAAATTAAGAACCATTGTCCGAAACAGTCGGCACGGGAACGTCGAATTCTGAGATAAGATGGCGTAGGTGCAACAAAACAGCGCATGCATTTGCGTATCTCATTTGAAAAAGTTCGAGCCATTTTGCGTAAGCGTCGACAATCACCAGATATTGAAAGCACTCCATCGGTCGGGCAAAATCAATATGAATGCGGGACCATGGTCCACTTGGAGTTTGCCAATAATGAAGCTCACATCTGACAGGTAGTTTTGCTGCCACAGCACGGCTGTTACAGGAAGGAACATTTTTACTATCCTTGTTCACGAATGGCCAGTAGGCATAGCTGTGGACTACGGATTTCATGTGGCTGATTCCCGAGTGGCCTGCGTGAAACTGACTGAGAATTTTCTTC